ATAATTACATTACTGTTAGGTCCTAATGAATACGTGTACCAAGTTTCATCGAGTTAAGTTTATTAGTTTGAGAGGTATTCCTTGATCGTTGAATTTGGAAATTGGCCGTGAGACTGGCGCGAGTCAGGCCGTAAACCCAGGAGAGGTTAAAAAAATATAACTCAGTACTCACTACAGTGAGTGACATAGAGCGCATTTTCTCGTCGACGAAAACGTGAAGTCACGGACTGACAAGACAGGCGGACACACGCACAGACAGACGGACGGACATGGCGAGCACAATAGTGCATTTTTTCCATAAATGAGTAAATGCGCTAAAAACAGATCTGGGTGAAAAAACCATCGCTGGGGGTCATGTGCTGCACGTGTTGTGTACAAATCGTCAAACAAACGTTCGAACTTCTGACTTCGGACTGCCGCCCCCCTATCGCCCCCCAAACGCCCTCTTCTTCTTTACCGCCCCTCAAAATCTTTCCATCGCCCCTAGGGGGGCGATATCGTCCACTTTGGGAACCACTGATTTAACTCAATCGACAATTCTACGGACCCGCCTGCGGACTCGCGCAACTGGGACACTCATAATTCCTTCAATACTTAACGGATCTGCTCGAATTTTGGAATGTGAGTATTAATTATCGATACGCTGCCGCAGGAATTATTATAGATTTTTACAAGAATTATTTTCTAATCTAACCTAACAATAAGTCATGTAAAAATCTGTAATAATTCCTGCTGCAGCGTATCGATAATTAATACTCGCATTCCAAAATTCGAGCAGATCCGTTTAGTATTGAAGGAATTATGAGTGTCCCAGTTGCTTAAAAAAACGTTTATTGGTTTTAATTAAAAAACAATTCATGTAAAAATTTGTAATAATTCCTGCGGCAGCGTATCGATAATTAATTTTCACATTCCAAATTCATACAGATCCGTTAAGTATTGAATAAATTATGAGTGTCCCAGTTGCTTAAAAAATACGTTTAATGGTTTTAATTAAAAAATAATTCATGTAAAAATCTGTAATAATTCCTGCGGCAGCGTATCGATAATTAATACTCACATTCCAAAATTCATACAGATCCGTTGAATATTGAAGGAATTATGAGTGTCCCAGTTGCGCGAGTCAGCAGGCGAGTTCGCAGGCGGGTACGTAGAATTGTCGATTGAGTGTAGATTTAATTCCCTAACTTGTTCCTAAGCTCTGACTTCTGAAGGTATTTTAGCTCATTGCTCGACAATAAATAACAAAAATTTGCTAGTTCGGATCTAGGTATATGAGCACCGGTAATACAAGGGCTGAAATCAAAATACTTTGATGAAGGTGTTTCCCGTCAACGGCTGCTGGCGGCGCTTCTTTTCACGCTCGTCACGTCTGTCTATGAAGTTCGTCTGAGAAGTAAGTTGCAGCTTCTTCGAAGGTGAGATAATTTTATTCTTGCTACGTTAATGGCGTTAAAATTTGCTTTAATTTAAAAAACAAAACACGCAGATGTATTGTGCAGTATTATATATTAGCAACGAAGCTCGTTTAGTCTATCTCTGTGGACTGTGGTTCCCAAACTTTTATCATGCTGGCGCCCCCTTTTTGGCTCCCTGACCCTAGTGAATTTCTATCGCCCAGCACAGACACATATAAAAACATACGCCTCTTTCTTGAAATTCAGTACGCTACAATTTTAGAAGATAAAGGTTAAACACAAATGTTTCTTTTACAAATAGAACCCCATTTAGTGAACCAATATGTTTTTAAGCTATTTCAACTGTTTGAGCACTAGAAACCTAGGACGTCTTCGGCAAATTTACGGCCGTGCTCGTGGCCGGTCGCACGACCAATCTCCAAATTCAATTATCAAGTAAAATCTCCCAAACTTAATAAACGCAGCTCAATGAAAATTGGAACATGTATTCATCTAAACCTAACGGTGATTTTTAGAGCAAATTCGCGGCGATCAAGAAATTTCTTCTAAACTACTCAATAGATTTCAACGAAAATTTGAATATAAATACGAAATACCTAACCTCCCAACAGTGATGTTTAGCTCGTACAATTTTTCTATTTTGCTTTCGTTCGCGAGTTATACAGATGTAGGAGGAACAACAGGCTTTTCTACCGGCCGGTTTAACTAAGAGCCGTTTACGAATATCCGTATACTTATAGCCGTATAACTCGCAAATGAAGGCAAAACGGAAAAACTGTAGCGAGCTAAACATCACCGTTGCTGAGGTTAGGTATTTAAATACTAAGTTTCGTTCAAATCTATTCAGTAGTTTTGGAGGAAATTTCTTGATTACTGCGAATTTAGGCACGTATTGCTGTTTAAATCGCGAATGAAGGTGAAATGAAAAAGAAAACTCGCAAACAGTGGCACAATCGAATAAATTTACACGAGCTAAAGCCTAAATATTACCGTTCAGTAGTTAAGACTGAAAATTCAAATTTTCCTTCGAATCTGTTCAATAGTTGGAAGAAATTCTTTGTTCACTGTGAATTTCGGCCCTTATTGCCATATAAACTATGGCAAAAACAAATGAAGGCAAAATTAAAAAAAATTTCACGAACTAAACATTACCGTTAGGTCCTAATGAATATGTGTACCAAGTTTCAACGAGTTAAGTTCATTAGTTTGAGAGATATTCCTTGATCATTGAATTTGGAAATTGGCCGTGAGACCGGCCGCGAGTCCGGCCGTTAATTTGTCTGAGACGTAAACCCAGGAGAGGTTAAAAAAACAGATCTGGGTGAAAAAACCATGATGTCATGATGTGCTGCACGTGTTGTGTACAAATTGTCCAACAAACGTTGGAACTTCTGACTTTTCTGACACGGCATCCCCCCAAACGCCCTCATCTTCCGTACCGCCTCCCAAAATCTTTCCACCGCCCCTAGGGGGGCGATATCGCCCACTTTGGGAACCACTGGACTCTAGCCGAACGACAACAAAATTCCTGTGAAAAAATTGTCTTTGGGTACAGTAGGTATTCATCGTATGGGCGGTATGGCTTGGCATATGTTGTCGACGAGAAATCTGAGATAATCACAACTTTCACCAGATCAAATTATTTTCTACCGAACATACGAGGAGCATCCGGAAAGTAGTACCCGTTTGTGAATCGAACAAAAAGAAGTAAATATTAACAAATGTAAACTTGTTTATTGGAAAGTACATGTATAATGTATTACACTACTTCTCTACATAATGGCCCGTATCCTAAATAGGGCACTAGCACTACGAAGTAGCACTACGCACTACGAAGTATCCTGTTGGTATGCTAAATACGTCACAGACACTAAGCACTTCGAAGTAGCTCTACAATGGTTAGGGTCGCTTAGTGCCGCACTACTGATTCGTATGCAGAAAGACTTTGAAGTGCTACTTCGCTGTTAGAGTACTTTATAGTGCCGCACTACGCTATTAGTCTATTGAAGAATGGTGGTTAAGTGCTCAAATCATTAATTATTGCCTAAGTAATTCTCATTCTTTGCAGAAGATTGATGTAAAATGTCTAATTGTGATGGTAATGGTACTAGTGAAAATTGTGATGGTGAGCTACCGTAGTGTTCCATGCCGCACTATGGCTTGTAGTGCGTAGTGCTACTTCATAGTGCTAGTGCCCTATTTAGCATGCCAACCGTAGTGTTCCATGTCGCACTACGGCTTGTAGTGCATAGTGCTACTTCAAAGTGCTAGTGCCCTATTTAGCATGCCAACCGTAGTGTTCCATGTCGCACTACGGCTTGTAGTCGCACGCACTACGGCTTGTAGTCGCACGCACTACGGCTTGTAGTGCGTAGTGCTACTTCGTAGTGCTAGTGCCCTATTTAGGATACGGGCCATTATCGGAGCAAATTTAAGCATTTGTCGTATCGTGTCACGAGTTTTTGTATACCTGTGTCATATTCCTCCGCCGCCAGCGTATTGAGATACGCAGTCACGTGTTCTTTCAGTTCTTCGTCATTTTGAAACTCTGTCCCTGCCACGAAGTTCTTGAGTTTCGTAAACAGATTAAAATATGAAGGAGCCAAGTCCGGACTGTACGCCATGATGTCGAAAATTTCCCACTTGAATTTTTGGAGAAGTTGTGTTATCCGACCCGTATGCGGCCTGGCTTCATCGTGCAGGAGAATGACGCCAGTAGACAACAGACCTCGCCGTCGATTTTAAATTGCCCGCCGTAATTTTTTTAATGTTGCACAATATGCATTGGCATTGATTGTGTCTCCACGAGTCATGAAATCGATGAGAAGTACACCTTGCCGATCCCAGCAACACTGGCGGCGGAGGAACATGACACTGGTATACAAAAACTCGTGACACGATACGACAAATGTTTAAATTTGTCCGGAGATTATGTAGAGAAGTAGTGTAATACATGTTCTTTTCAATAAACATGTTTACATTTGTTAATATTTACTTCCTTTTGTTCAATTCCCAAACGGGTAGGCTACTACTTTCAGGGGACCGGATGTCCCTCGTGAGTGTATAAGGAAAAATGGTTTTTGTGACGTCGTTCGTCACTCGTCAGATTAAACGCACTAAGTTTTCTTATCCTCCTCTATTCTTTCTTCAAATCTTCACTCATCCTTGCGTTCACTCCACAAGTGCGTGGAAAATATCGCAGCGAGCCCTCATGACTCATGAGGTTCCCGCGTCCCTCTGACTCCCTCACAGCGTCAGTGTGTGTCCACAGCTCGAGCGAGTAATGTGTTGCTCCACGAGCCCTCCCGGTGTTACCTTATTTTATGATGTTATAGCTTATTGTATCCATGTATTCCTCTATTGCCTTCACTGTGTATGATTCCAGAATTGTGATTCTAAATTCATGTTATTGAGTGCATATTAAAGTTGTCACTGCGAGTAATGCCGCGCCGATATATTGGCGGCCATAATCACGAACACCTGCTCATAGGTTCTTGACTATATCATAGTTGATATCTATTTTCTAGTGCTATTTGCTATTTTCTTTGCTATTTGTGCTATTTGCTATTTTCTTTGCCATTTGCCTCACCATTGCCGTTATAATCATTCGAATGTTATGTAGCAATGTAAGAGAGACGCCGTTCCGTTTTCTTCGATTCAGTCATAAAGAAAATTTTTGCGGGAAACTACTTTGTTCCCCGCGTCGTCAACACGGCATCCCTGCAGACTTACTGTATTACTTAGTAATCAATTTCAAAGCCCAACCCAGCGTTGGCAAACGCTAGCTTAAGCGAGAAAACGCCTGTAGTAGTCTCTTCTTCTTGCCTGCCAAACCACCTCGTGTGAGTGACCAATGAAATATCGCGGCCATGCCGACATAAACAATTCCTGTCATGCCAGTTGTAATTTGGTTATCGAGAAGTCAATTAAGAACGCTCATCTATTCTATAACGTTTAGTACTAAACAATGTCTAAAGTCTAAACAATGTGAGTCTACCCCCTGCATAGTGTGAGTTTTATTAAGTATTTCTCGACCTATTAACTAATATTAAATCTTATTTTCAGCTTACGTCACTCAGCTTACGTCACTCAAGTATATGAAATAAACGAGAGAAAACCAACTTCGATTTTCCCTGCCCCGTTGAGCCCTCACAAGTTTGTGTCAGTTTGAGTGTTTCGAGAGACTAGACTCGCTAGAAATTAAAAATAAACTGAAATATAGCGGTTGCTAATACTAGTACTGATACTTTCATAGCACATCATGAAACCCTAAAATGCATCTAAACTTCATTGTTGTTAGCTGTTAGGTAAGTATTTACTGATTGATTTCAAGTTTAGATTAAATATGTCGCTTATCGTTTCTTGTTGAATTTATCTACAGTAGTTGGTGTAATAAATATTGCCGTAACCACGCAATAATTTTCCTACCACTAACGTTAAGATAATAAAATTATTTAAATTATATTGATGAGGTGTATAAATCAAAGTTAATATCTGTCCAGGTTACGTAGCAAGCATGTCACAGAGAAACGAAGGCCGCGTCTCGACCGTGCATTCGGTGCTCAGAAGCAGGGCGAGTGTCGTAGCTAGTGTCGGTCACGACAGCGGCACTAGCCTAAGCCTGAGCAATGTCTACACCAACGGTGCTAACAGTGCTGCGGTAAACAGCCCTGACTCATTGAGCGCTACCTTCTACACTGGCAGAAGCAATAGATTTACGGACGTGCCAGCGAATGTTTGGGTCAATTATACTAGTTGATCTCTCTACTCAATTGCTATATTTTGATATTAAGGAACAGGTTAATTTAAATTTAAGTAATACATGTACGAATGAGCCCAATACATGACTGATCAAAGGAAATCTTGCTTTCCTAATGTCAGTATGAGAGCAAAATATTCATAAATGTCTTTTCGGTATAAATTTACGATTTAACTAATTAAGAGGCTTGTATAAAATGATACTTCTTCTTGCGGGCTGATTTTATTCACTAAGGTTACTTAAGCGGGTTATTAATTGCTTTTAGGGAATTTAAAGCAAATATAAATCATTTTTATGAATACTGCTATATGTAGAGTTGGAAATAAGTTAGAAACTTGCTTCAAATGTTCAGCAGGTCACTATGTTATCCAAATTATCATTTTTCAAGCTTCAAAAAGAATTTCAATAAGATATACAATGCGAATAACTTTATTGATTAATACTTTTATTTTTAAGATACAATTGAGCTAAATATTTAACTTATGACCAGGCCCCGTTGCGTGTGGCGTTCACCCCTCAGGCTGTGTCGACACCCTTGCCCCATTCGCGCGCCCTCCCCCCCGTACCCTCGAGTGTGTCCCCGAATGTGTCCCCAATAGAACGTGTTAAATCACCACCTACGAAAACTAAACAAACAAATTTTAATCCTGCAAAACTCGCCAAGAACTGCCAGAGTCTCACGATACCGTCTATTCAAGAGGTATCTTATTTCGATGAATTTTGTGCTTTATTGTATCCGTAATTGGAAAATACATAAATGCTCAATTAAGATCGATGATATGGTACGAGATGAATACAGATTTTATACATAAACATTAATTTGCAAGATTATTGAGTATATTTTATGCATACACGAAACTTAGGCTCATATTTCAACGTACATAATTACGCTTCAATCCACAGCAGCCCTGGACATCGGCAAAGAAGAAAGGCGCTGTAGCCGCACAATTCAAGTGAGTTGCATGTATCAATGTTACCAACTATGAATCCACAGATTCGGACTGATAACGTGCATCGCCATTTATGATTATTTGTCTATCAATAATTCGAAGATTAATAAACAATTTTCATCAGTTTGACTCAGGCTTGAATGGAAATAATGGAAATGATAGAATAAGATGGATAAATGAAGTCTGCATACCCGCAAATGATATTTTTTACTATTCCTTTTCGATGCATTGCAAAAAATATATTTATAATGATCACAACGAAATATAATTTTTTAGGTATTTATAAATTCTGAATTAAATTTTGGTTCCCTGCATGCAGGACTCAGCATAAATCGTCTGATGCTACTAGACGACGTCGCAATGTCGCAGGCTCGGGTGAGTGTAGAATAGAAGTGTCGGCACTGAAGAAATAGGCCCATGGCCTCTTGCTGATTCTTATACATTTCGTGACTTGATTCACAAGGGATCCGGCCTTTGGAACCCGACATTTCCATAGCTGACGATTGATTGAGATAGCTGCTGGACTTACTGCCTGGTCCGTAAGGTGCTTGGCTGGTCCGTCATGAGCTTCCTGCAACAACTTTCTCTTGGAATACATGACAATGATGAGTACAATTCAATAAAAGAACACATATATACAATATTTGTAAGAGCTTTAATATAACAGAACACACATATACAATATTTGCAACAGCTTTAATATAACAGAACACACATATACAATATTTGTAAGAACTTTAATATAACTCTCTGAACCACCATGCATCTTCATGCCAGGTGGCCACCCTGTGGAGGATTTGCGCCGAATCCAAAATTTTAAGGTTTGTGCAACGTTCTTTTCTTTATTTTATATTTTTGGAAACACATTACGACTGTTAAAGCAACCAGCAATTTTGCTGTCAGTTCTGATTAAATTTAGTCTTTGAATTTAAATTCCAACATCAATATGATCACTGATCGGTCTAAAATCACATAGGTTAACAAAAAATATAATTAAATTATTGACAGAGAAAAATTAAAATGAAACGGTTGAGGTACATATATAAAAATGTTATTATTACTTGAATTAACATTAAATTCATGATATAATTATCGATCGCGTAATAAATGAAAAATATAACTCAGTACTCACTGCAGTGAGTTACAGCGAGCGCATTTCTCGTCGACGAAAACGTGACGTCACGGACGGACAGACATGGCGAGCACAATAGTGCATTTTTTCCATAAATGAGGTCATGCGCTAAAAATTGGTGTGATGCATTCTATGCCCAGGAGCACATGCTGGAGCTGCAGCAGCAGACGCCTAGGAGGGCGTGGGTGCAGTGCGACGACTGCGACAAGTGGCGGGAGCTCACCGCCGCGGTGGACCCTGCAAACCTGCCCGAGCGCTGGACCTGCCCCATGAACACTGGTAATAATAATAATAATAATAATAATAGCGGTTTCAGCGTTTATTAGGCCATAGGCCTGTCGCCGATTCTTAACATCGCAGAACATCCACAGCTTGTTGCGGTCTCGTAATATCTTCCTGTCTATAATAACGTATACAGAGTCAATTCTAAAAGTAATGAGCATGATGTTATTGTGGCGTGACGATAGATGGCAGCGTGGTCAAACCGGCTGGGGAATGTGGTGGGGGGTATGCCCTTTCATTGCATTCGGTCGTCAATTGAGTTCGAGCAGTATGAGCGGAGAAACGAGCCTCCGCGTGAAGTGTGTTTTCGACTTTTGTAACATAGCGCGATGGAGCGTTCGCTGGAACAACGATATGCCACAAAGTTTTGCGTGAGGCTTGGAAGAAATGCAACCGAAACATTCCAGATGCTGCAAGAAGCCTTCAAGGACGATTGCATTTTAAAGAAGTTTTGCGATCAAAACGATGATCATTGTCTTCTTAGACATCCGAGGAATAGTCCATTGTGAGTTTGTACCGCAAGGACAAACTGTAAACTCAGCCTTTTCCACATCCAACACCAAGTTACAACGTTCCCGAGAGGCATTCCCGTCGATGAGTTTCAGGGTGCATTTCAGGCGTGGCAAACACGTCTCCGCAAGTGTATTGATGCAGGAGGAATGTATTTTGAAGAATATTGAACATTTGTACAAATTACGATCAATAAATGTTATTTGCCAGAAAATGCTCATTACTTTCATGATGCACCCTGTACATCTTCCTGTCTATGATAACGTGCGCATCTTCCTGTCTATAATAACGTGCACATCTTCCTGTCTATGATAACGTGCACATCTTCCTGTCTATAATAACGTGCACATCTTCCTGTCTATAATAACGTGCACATCTTCCTGTCTATAATAACGTGCACATCTTCCTGTCTATAATAACGTGCACATCTTCCTGTCTATAATAATTCCTGTCTATAATAACGTGCGCATCTTCCTGTCTATAATATAAGATGAATTATATCCTATTCTACTGTAATTGCTGTTACGATGCTAATCTCGACGATAGTTCACAATTAAATTAGATATTTATTCACAGTACTGTAATATATTACTGTTCAGTAACACTTTTAGCGTACAGCCGCTACATAAAATAAGACATTACTATGATAATTACTACTATTCAGACGCGCAGTATTCGAGCTGCCAAGTACCAGAGGCCATCTTTCCCAGCGACGACCCAGACTACTTCGTATACACTAACTTCACACCCGGCTCAGGTTTATATATATTGCCATATATGTATAATATATAATTATATTGCCAAAGCAACAGATTTTCTCTTGAGGTGTCTAAAGTTTTCTTCAATATAAATCGTTTATTCCAAATTTATATTATACTTGAATTATAATTATTTTAATATTAATTAAAAGGAATTGTAATATTAAGAAATATTTAATGTATTAGGTATATATTAGAAAAATATTATATGAAACAGAAAGGGAATGATTGGGGAAAAGTTCAACAAAATAGGATTATAATTTGCACTTAACTCTTATTAGTTGAACAGAAATCCCACATTCGCTTTCTCATTAACACTCGTTCATCGCACTCAGTTGAACTGCAGAGATAACAACTATAATAATGTATGCATTATACATTCCTTACCTCGGCTCTGTGGTTGGGTGTACTGTATGATTTTATTCGCTATTTAATTATTGCTTATATGATGACATTGACGGCTTATGTTTCAGTTGTGTGGGTACAACAAGGCAGGACTCGCTACCCCGCCATGGTGGACGACGACCCTGACACTGACATCTTCTTCCGGCTGCCCAAAAACAGCAACCGCCCGGTACTAACCTTACCTCTACCACGCCCATATGACCAACTCTTATGATAACTACGACTTAATTCTTATTGCAATGACCGCCCGCTATAACTGTTCCTTCAATGATAGCATAACTCATTGTATATCGACGGTTGCTTTTCCCTGCATAAATTTAAAACCAAAACACAATTTATTTCCTTATTTTTTCTAGCGAGAAGTTCTGTTACAGATAGCGAATGCGTTTAATCGTTTCAGATGTCACCTGAGATTTTAATTCTCGTCATGTATGATGTATTCTACCTCTAGTAGACTAGGGGAAAACGTTACCTCCTGTAAGAACTAACCACGGCTTTAACTTTAATTTGCATATATAATGGAAACCTAGGAAAAAAATATAACTCAGTACTCACTGTAGTGAGTGACAGAGAGCGCATTTTCTCGTCGACGAAAACTTAAGGTCACGGACGGACGGACAGACGGACGGACAGACAGACAGACAGACAGACGGACATGGCGAGCACAATAGTGCATTTTTTCCATAAATGAGAAAATGCGCTAAAAATAACCAATAGGTAAACTCTGGTTCTTACCGTGCACGTATACATGATACGCATGGTATTCGTGCCCCAGAATTGGTATCACGTGATGAACTTCGAGTCGCCGGTGTGCCGCAACTGGGTGCGGGCCAAGGCCGTGAGCGCCTTCACCGACAAGGACGCCATCGCTGCTAAGGTCAACTCTACTCAATTATGAACTTTTTCCATTAATATTGCAAATTTTATTTGCGGAAATCTCTTAATATCTGTAATTCTGCATCATCATATAGCTCGGACTTGCATGCAAAAATACCGCTCAGCCACTTTGAGCTGGTTACCAAATAGCCGTGTGTGAACGCAATACGGGCAGTTACGGGCAGGGTGGCCCAGTGGTTACAGTTCAGAGTACTAAGACTGGAGAAGAGAGGCGCGGGTTCGATCCCAGCTTTGTGCGCCAGTTTCTGGTCAGAATCGGTAAGGAGGCCGGGCGGTTAAGCAAAGCAGAATTGTAGCAGTGAGTTGCTAGTTTGAGCCCTCAACAAAGTGTGAATGTTCTGCAATGTTAAGAATCGGCGGCAGGCCTATGGCCTAATAAACGCTGAAACCGCTATTGTTTTCATTATTATTGTTAATATTATTATTATAATACGGCCGAAAAAGTTTTCTCCACACAGCTCCTCTAGTTTAATGATTTGAGGATTTATCAACACGCTACTTAATTGTTCAGAGAATTACAATGGGCCGAAAATATTTAAAGAGATTTAGTAAATAAGTGTACGTGCTTAACCACATCTAGAGCTCTCTTTATATTAAGCTCGATTTCGATGAAACACACATAAATATTCTGACTGATTAGGGGCAATTGATCTGTATAATTAATATCTGGATCGATTCACAGTATTGATTATTATTTTCAAATCTCTGCTGATAAAACTACTGACTATAAACCTAACGACGATGCAGCACTTCATTCGCAAAATATAAATCATCAACTTTTGTTTACTTAAGTTACAATAAATTTTCTGCACCATCATACCTAGATTGTTATGAACTCCTGCGATAATTGAAACAATACATCACTGGCGGTTCAATGATGAATTGTTCATCACTGGCGCGTGTACAATTCAACACTGGCCTCGTTTTCGTCTAGATCACTCATTCCCTCGTATTGGTTTTCGGTCCCTAAAACTTAAATTAAGGCTAATTGAGCTGAGATTTATACACATGTATATGTATAAGGATTTCTTGCAGGCAAAGCGCAGCTCAGCCGCGGCAGTGAAGGCGGCCACCGCCAAGGCTCTTCCCATGGTTGAGCGAAGGAAGCGCTACTGTGTTGCTGTCAAGTTCGTCGTGGCAAACCGCGGCAACTTACTAACCAAATAGTAAGTCAAAATAAACGAATACTTACTACAGCAATTCTATCACATTCTGTTTATGCGCTTCATCAATATTTGTAAAAATTCGCACTGAAGTTGATGGATGATGTTTGGCAATTTGGTGTCGGCAGTAATGGGCTTCTGATAGATTCGTTCCATGTGTTATACCGATGGCAATCCAACGTTCCATAGTACTGAGATGTGAGTCTGTAATGCGAATAGCAGTTAGGAGTTGTTTAAATTGCTTCTCAATGTACTTTAACTGAAGTATTAGTATTATATATATATATATAAATATTTTATAGGTACAAGGGACCAATCGATAGCCTAGCGAGGCAGCCGGAGTCCCCCGATGCAGAGCGCTGAAGCAATTGGAAACAAACGCAAACTTTTCGTCTCTTAAGTCTTCCCTTTTGTCGTCTCTCCCTCGACGCTATTTCGCAAATACATTTTAGTTGCGTAAGCACGTAATGATAGAATTTAAATTATTTAGTACATCACTGCCGTAAATGTTTAACCCGTTTTTAAAGCCTGTTAAGTTCATAAACCTAATTGATACATTGGAAATTTTTGCCTTGAACATTTTTAACGAATAGTTTCCTCATTTTCAATCATGAGTAGTGGTGTTTTTCTCCTTTTTAGGAAAATTGTTTATTTTTCTTGGTAGAATGTCCACGTTCAGAGAATTGACGTAACTAAGTTGACTGACAGTATTACTCCTCTTTAGTCTCTCCTGGGACAGCGCGTTCTCATTTCGGTCATAAATATTCATTGCAGTTTGTTTAAAGAATCTTATTTCGTATTGCGTTCTACTCAGAGTAACCCGATTACTTCGGTTTGAGTTGATATAATTTTAAGTTCAGGTTGGAGCTTTAGTCGCATCACCTTCTGCCGGATCACAATTTTACTGATAAAATTGTAATTTTATCAATGAGTGCATAGAACTTTATTTTTGTTAGTTACATCGTATTGTCGAAGAAAGGAATGTTGGTTGGGCAGATGTGTCCCTGTTCACCGATTACTTCGAAGATTTTTCTATTCTTTGAGAGGATAATGGCTGGAATAATAAATGTTGTGAAGAAAATTATTTCTGTTACTGTGTTTTACGGTTCTTTCTTAGTTATAATTTTAATTGTTTCTTTGCTGGTATTGATGGGTCTTGGAACATGGTTTACTTGCATATTGTTTTAATCAATTATCTAACAATGGTGATTTTCTACTGTACTTCATCTTAAAGAACAAAACTTTGAAAATGAGAATCTCTATCTTTGGAAGTCCCAAAGTTAGGTCCTCTGATCTCCGTGTGTGGAGCTTCTCTATACGACAGTTTATTATGCTTTTACTTACTGCTTAGTTAGTAATTAGTTTGGGGAGTACCTGTTGTTATTTTTGGTGTGAGGCAAGCTGTATGATTGCGCGTGTGAAGCATTTTCCAGGGTAATATTAAAAATATACTATGCAAAAAGTTGATTTGAAACTTCTAGTATATTGTGGTGCAATGGAACATGTTAATTTTTGGTATACTATTTGATGAAAGTTTATGCTTCATTCTGTTTGTTTAACCTTAATGGCCGGTTCTCAGTAACAACCTCTTGAATCAAATCGAATATAAGAGAATATATTCCCAGTCTCCGTTTTCGTCGCCTGCGTGGTGACCTCGTTGAAGCATACAAGTATACTCATGTTTATACAAGTTCGCCGAAGGATTACTAGAATTTGAAACAAGAACCAACACCAGAGGCCACGGCTATAAACTAAAAAAAAACTGCGCTGCAAATTATCCATGCGACAACATTTTTTCTCGCTTCGAGTCGCCGACATGTGGAACAGCCTCCCTGAAGATATTGTTGAATCTCCGAGTATGAACGCGTTCAAGAACAGACTAGACAAGGGCATGCAGGAGCATATGTATAGTCTTGAAATGTGTCATATCCAACGGAACAACTGAAATCTAGAAAACGATTTCAAACCTACCATCCGTTGAAAAGACTTGATCAAAAGGCCAGTCTAGTCAAGAAAAATACAAGAATCGACGACAGGCCTATTCTTCAATGCCGAAGATACTATACTATACTCGATAAATCTATGGAAAAATATATGTTCAGACTTGAAATGCCTAGCACCATATCGAGCCCGGTGTAAGTCTAGTAGTTATTTCATACTATCGTCAGTCCTGAAAAGATCCGGTCAAAGTCAAATGACATGCTTTCAGATCTTCTATGATTTTGACCGATTTAATGACATGATTTTAGATCATGTTTAATGACATGATTTTAGATCTGTGAACAAGTCACGAAAAGTACAAGAATCGGCGGCAGATCACATCAGGCGTACTCTTCAACGCCGACATCACTATGTTATCTTATGTTATGTTACGCAGTATACAATACATGATCTTGACCGATTTAATGACATGATTTTACATTTCTTTTAGATTTCTTGACATAACAAGAAAACTGAACTGAAAGAAGGAATTTCTCGTGGATAAACCTTATATAGTTCAACCATGGACGTGTCCATTCATGACCCCGTAACTACTTTCAGATATTGCTATATTCATCAAGCACTTTCTTCATGCAACAATACTTTTCACTGTTCAATAATAAAACTGAAATAACCAAACCATAATAATATCGCAAATAGTCACTCAGGGCCTAAGAGGCCCCATAGCTAATATAATTATCAAATACACATTTACTAACAAATGAAAATGTGATGCGTGGCTGATGGCCGTTGCAAAGGCCTGACCCTGAAATTCTTTTTCTCAGAGTCACCACGCCCCAAATCCACGCTCTCAGACCGTACTCCCTCCACATCGTATAACAATACGTACTCCCTCCACATCCTCGCTCATTTCGATCTCACCGACATTTATTTCTTCAATCTCAAACACACATGATGAATATAATTTTTTAACGCAGTTCATTTATAAATAAGAATTGCAAGAAATTCAGGAACAATGACAAATTCCGGCTTTCATATGTTACTGACGGCACGTGTGGCTGTGGCGGTCCGGTGCCCGGAGAGAGTCAGCCGCGTTCATCGAGTAAACACCTATAGTGTCTTACGTCCTTGATTGTGTAAAAGCTAACTTGCAAGTAATCGCTTAGAATTAATTACAAACAGGGCCTGGACTGTACTTCTATATATACCGCGAGTATATAAACCAAGGGTACGTCCGGCACTAAGAACCCGGCTGGCTTTCTCGCCCCTCCCCCCTCCTCTTCTCTTCACGAGAAGAGGCTGTAGGCAGGAGTAGGTTTGTGAGCCAGCCTAGGCCTGAATTTATTCATTATTTATTAATATTAATCTATTCAGTAACAATCATGTAACATGTTAAATATTATTCCTTTTCCTCTATAAATTTATTATATTCTTTTCTTTGTGCTATTAGCCCAGTCAGTCAGAATTCCTGTCTCTTATACACATCTAGNACAAGTTCAAGCATGACCATGCTGGTGCATGTTAAAGGTAGACTCTTTTTCACTGGCAATACTGGACACATGTATTGGTAAAGCCAATAACAAAGATATATGTCTGAAACAAACACAGAAGAAACACACACATTATTAATAACAAAACAAAATTTAAACCACTCCTTCTAAGGGAGAAAACCAGATGATATTAGGAGGCATGACCTAGAAGTAAGAAAATACACTATGATACAATACAGCTAATGTTCTGCGGCCCTCTTCAACGCTATAGAGACTTTAACAAACTTTGTAAAAAATGAGATCCAGAAAGTCAGTATATCAATCTGCAAATTTTTAAAAGAAATTATTCTCACAGATTTCTCCAAGGAGAACAGGAAGGAAAAATAACTGCTCACCATCAGTGCCACTAGGAAACATTTTGGTAACAGCATTGCTGAAGCCCTGCTAGAAGAGCTGCATATGAGGAACACTACCGCTGCAGAGACTGCCTTAACCAAAGATGCCCCTGTGATAGAAGCTTGCACTTTCACCCAGCCTGGCTCATATGACCTGCACATAGAGAACCACAAGAAAAAAGATGGGTACCCTAAACTGAAATTGCCTAAGAGTGCACCCTCATCCAAAGTAGAAAAATCACAATCTGCTCAGAAGAGACAAATAAAATCAACCAGGATCACAAAAGAAAGAAGAAAACTTAAATGGCTCCCAATAATTTAAACTCCATACAGCGAACCAATGAATCAGAATCTCAACTTGAAATCTACTTCCTGAACTGCAATGGCCTCAAGGGTAAAGTGTCTGAGCTCAAGATATATATGTACACTAGGAAGCCTGACCTGGTTTGCTTATGCAAAACGTGGCTAAAGAAAAATGAACCTAAATTCATTGGTTACCAGTCACTATGGGCACATAGAACCAGAGAAAAAGGACGGCTAGGAATTTTAATCAGGGAAGATGTCACATTTGAGCCAAAGCAATTGAACCCTTTCCAGACTGGCTCACTGGAGTGCCAGGCCATCCAGATATATGCCAATTCTGGTAGGGTTAGCATACTGAATGCTTATAATCCCTGCAAAAACATCTCAGTACAAGAGCTGCAGCACTACACGAGTCAGCTGGGAAACAGCTTTATTCTTGTTGGGGACTTCAATGGACATTCGCCGCTATGGGACTCTTGCAACCGATCCAACTTCACAGGCAGAAGCATTGAAAGATTGCTGAACTTGCACAACCATATACTGCTCAATGACCCGGACACACCCACCTACATTGATAACTGCACAAGGTCAACCTCGTGCCTTGATCTCTGCATAGCAACACACAATTTGGGCATCAAAGGAGAGCTGCACCGGGGTGTTGATATAGGAAGTGACCACTTCCCCTTGGAAATCACCTTTGGCTTTGGATGTACAAAGAGTGGCATGAGCCCACAACAAAATTGGGCTTTAAAGAGTGCTGACTGGAAAAAGTGGACCTCATTGTTTCTCCAAGTTAGCGAATCCTCAGATAAAACAATGAATCCCCTAGATGTGGAAACCCTCAACAAGCACATAACTCAAAAAATCATCAGCACTGCTAACAAATGCATCCCAAGGACATCCACTAGAAGACAATGCCGTAGAATCACCCCATGGTGGGACCAGGAATGCCGAGCTGCTGTTGAAGAAAGGAAAAAAGCAAAGAACATTCTCTGGAAGCACCCAACACCCACAAACCTGATACACTACAAACGATGTGTTGCAATGGCAAAACATATTGCCCTGAAAAAGAAAAAGGAGAGTTGGACCAAGTTCACAGAGTCCCTGGAAAGCACCACCCCTTCCTCTAAAGTGTGGCGGACAATCAAGAGCTTTAGTGGGAAACAGGGATCCAGGAATATTCCTGTTGGCAACCATACCACATCAAATCATGAAATTGCAGCTCTTTTTCTGGCAAACTTTACCCATGACACAGACACAGCTGGAGACCAGGCAGGAGATGGAGAGGTGATTGAAGCGGTTGAGAGTTTGGTGGGGAGCATTATCGAACCAACGTGCCCTGATATAAGCCTACTAGAGCTCCAGACCTCTATCTGTTCTCTGAAGAATACCTCCCCAGGAAGTGATCTCATCTCCAATGCCTTTCTGACTAGAAGCCCGGATTTCATTAAAACTGAACCTTTTTAACACTAGCTTAGTTTGAAGAAATTACTGAATTTTGTTCAAATTGCTGACTAGTGTGCCACACAACATGGAACAAAGAAATTTTTTATTCAAAACCACTCATCCTTGAAGGGCAGCATTTTTTTGATAGAGTAGAATTGAAGTGAATAGAAGTGCAAATGAACAGCCCTCTCAACATCAATACCATTACAGTGAAAAGGACAGTTTCTACTAATCACAAATTTCAATCTTAGTTCAAATCCACTTAATTATAGTACCCAAGAGAAATATTTAAGTCTTCTGTTTACATTTATGTTCATACAAAAGCAATATTTTAGATAATTTATATAATTTAATAAACAAAGATGTAAGTTGAAGGGTTGGTTCCATGTCAATTTAAGGCTCTCCTTACTGTACAGACCAATCTATTAGTAGGTGCTATTCATGTAAAGACTGCAATAACCTTGCCAGCCTACAGTGACTTCAGTGTACTAATTGTCAATATTGCTGGCAACTTAAAAGTACCATCAACTGGGGTGACTTTGGCCACTGGGGGTGACTTTGGCCACCTCTACAACAGAAACAAATGGCAGCAAAACTAAATAATGAACGTTGGCCAAAGTCACCCCAGTTCATTTGGCCAACGTTTATTATTTTGTTTTGTTGTCATTTATTTTTGTGGTAGTGGTGGCCGAAGTCACCCCAGTTGACGGTACCTTGGTACTGTTTACTTGTGACTTCTAACAATTCTCAAGAACATCCATTTTATTGTATGATCAAGCAATAAAGAAAAAATATGGTGAATTTTTTCTCAGAATTTGAAAAATGAGTAAACTCCGCACAGTTGTTGCATTCAATTTTAGCTTTTTGATGTTTTGATATTTAATGTACCGTATTGTAGCAAGTTTTTTGCAAGTGGCAACTTATGTGGTATTGAAGATTGCCAATTGAGCACAATCCTACT